GTTGAATGCTGGTTAGAGTCAGGTTCTCCTTGGAAATTGGGAAAACCACACCAGGAAGCTACCACGTAGATGAAGAAAGAGAGTGAGATTATTCCAGATGAGTCAGTCTACTACCAAATTTGCGGTTGCTGGTGGAGGGCTGGAGTGTGCCATGGCTGGAATGCTAACCTTGCGTGAGGACCTGAATGGCTTGAACTCTCACCTAATGAGCAGGATCACCAGCACTGTGCTACCGACTCCCCTTACCTATTAGAATAAAGAAACTAACACAGGAATTGTGGTTAAAAATGTTATGATTGTTTCTTTTCACGCAATCTTTGGACGTGGACAAATTTTTTTTCAAATAAGTAGAATTCGTACCACTACTACAACATGTTCGACCAGGAAATATATCACATCCACTGCATCCACATGTACATCGTTTTCGACGAGTCGTCCTATATGTTAAACGTTAAAGGGAATGAAGTGGAGATCAATAAAGATAATAAGAAGACTGGACAAAGCTTTTAAGTTGGCCAATGGAAGAAAAACTTTATTTGTCCCTTCATTCTGAAATTTGGATAGCTAGACATCCGTTACTGTGGGAGGTGTGTAGTAAAAAGATTCCGATACAAAGATTTAGTGAAGCGCGAAAATTATGCGAATTTTTCCTCTGATTTTTGCAAACGACCATTCATGCACTCATAACTATTTCTGAGAGAATAGCTAGAAAAACTGGTAGACCGTTAGAGTTGGAGAGAAACTAAATGCAGTTAGGTCTAAAGACATAAAGAAACGTCTTCAGAAGCTAATAATCTTTATATCATTTACATCAATTGAATCCATAAATAACACGATCAAAACACGACCATTTATTATAGTATAATGATTTTGGTGTGAAAGTTTGAAAATAGTGAAGCCTTCTCACCGTACACTCAAGGGGACTGTATTACTTTCATTATTGACGATGGCGTGAAATGGCCGATCGTATGACCGAAACCGTGATTCCCACTTCACTGAAATCGTTAAAGACTTTTCATACAATACTTTTTCTTGTTACATGTTCTACAGTAGTCCAAAAAAAGGACAGAGATTTGCCCACCTTTGTTCAAAAACACAGTATCAGCACCGTCTTCTACCGTGGCACCCAAATCGTCAGCGCATACCGTAGCTGCCAAGGTGACGCTAACAAGAACCGACCATTCAAATGGCCTTAGCATCGCTGAATGGGGTGTTCTGACTAATCAGACTTGTAGCTCAACGATCAGGTCAACTGTAAACCTTTTTGGTAGAAAGTCTTGAGCCGTTTAGAGGTCCGGTATGACATCCCTAGCGATATACGTACCTTTCGGCGTTCTCGAACCCCTCATCAAAACCACATACCCTACAGATACCCTTGCCAATATTAGCAATCGACGCCAAAAAAGTGCCACTTTACGTTAAGTTAAATGATCACTTGATGCTGTGCTCTAGCCCTAAAAGGCTTGCAACATCCTATCAAACTATATTGAATTTTCGAGCGAGGTCTAAGAATAGTGATTGGAAGGTATTGTTACATATGCTCCTTAACATGTGGAAGCCATGGACAAAACCATTTAAGGGCATGTGGTATATAGATGAGGTGTGCAAGAATGTCGAATCATACGTATACCAGTAGAGATGCCATATTAGAACTCTAAAAGTCTTGATAAGCTCTATGAGACTATATTGAGTTTCTCAGCGAGGTCCCCAAATAGTCGATTGGAAGGTAATGTTACATAAATCTTTTTATAGAAGAATATTCTTTAATCAGTATAATCTGATGAAATATATTTCGAGCCTTTCAGCAACTGGAGTGGCTGGAGGGCCGAGTCACGTATTTTGCACTGTGTAAGTGCCCCATGACAGACCTTATGAAAGGCTCAAAATACGTTGCCAGATTACATTGCTCTTGCGCGAGGTCTCAAAATAGCCGATCGCAATGATTGCTACATATGCCCACGTGGCAGCCAATATGCCACACGGTCGACAATCACTCACACTCGACACTTTGAAAGAACTCTTTGGTGATCACCGCATGTCGAGTGTAAAAAGTTCGTCGTAGATTCCACTAAGAAGGGCTATGTATCCCCGAGGAAATGACTGAACGAAAAGGCACTGTACAACTGACGAGGCTCGAAGGTCGAAACAGGTATCTCGCACCGTAGGAGTGCCCCTAACATGTCTTATGAAAGGTTCAAAATACATTGTCAGATTACATTGCTCTCGACCGAGGTCTCAGAATAGTCGATTGCAATGCTTACAATGATCGCTATTCAGTCGCATGGACCTTACTGAAGTTTATGGATGTACTATATCGGTGCTACGGTATAGAAATCAAAGGCAAGGTTTACAATCGATCAGTTACTATTACTCGGTGAGAAAGTTCCGTTACTGGAAGAAGTTGGGAAAAGGTGAGCAAGGTCATGAAGCCTCTGATATATTTTATATAAAAGTTTGTCCTACAGAGTAAACAGTACATTGTTTTTCTTCGTATCCCGAAAAGGTCTACCGCTATAATTGACAAATAATGGAGACAACAAAAGAACAAATCAGTTAAAACGTTTTGATCATATATAGCATAATTCTGCTAAAGAAATTTTGAAAGAAATATCTACTCAGATGATACCGTGAATTCTAAGCATTATGAAAAGCTTTACGAAACTGTTTCCGATGCGAACGAATCGGTCACGACTGGAGTGGATCATGAATGTGCATAGTTGAACGACGGATGGAAAAGAAAAAGAAAACAAGTTGGAACAGAAAGGAGAGCTGGATTTTCGTCGCTTGAGATCGGGATCTATGACCGGTGAAAGCATAGTATAGCGAACTTTCACCCATCGTGAACCTGCTTATCAATGATAACATCCAATCCGGTCAATGATTTGATAAGCAACCGTTAAGGCTAAATGCTATGACGATCTCTATTGAACTTAACTTTTCCTCCCTTCTCAAGATTGCATACTTTTGTCAACATTTTCGCGACATAAAGTTTATAAGTGCCAATTGTAAGGGACATTGTGGCCAGTATGAATGCTTATTCTTACATATCATTCGATAACCGACATCTTGCCTAACTCAGATGTTGGAGAGTGTCAACCGCGAAGAATTCTATTGTGTACTAAGATATGTACAAGAACCTCTTCTTGAAGAATCTCTTGATTCAACCATAGTCACTACGAAAAAATCATTGTCATCGGAAAGAAGAGAAACATAGAATAGATATAGAATCGGGCTGACAGAACTGTAGAACACTCGGAATATCGACATGATCGTAATTATATTAGAACGACGAAGCAGTGTGTCTTCTACAACCCTGTCATGTTGCCGAACCTCACGTATTTTTCTTCTTCTGCTATTCATTTCCTAATCGGACTGAAAATGTCAACGATATGACAGACTTAATTCTGGTTAGATGCGCCCAAGTCGGACCTATTATACCTGAGATTTATTTTAATGTCCATCACAATTAGTCGCATCAACCCCATCACTGTGCGCATAGTACAGTGGTTGGAGGCGTCCTGCAATAGATATTTGGTTGTAGGCTTGGTCTCGCGTGTTGTTTTCAACTAAGCCGTCCATCCCACCGCGTTTAGCAAATTGCTACGAACTTAGTTTGTGAGGTGCTAAGAGCCTTTCGAGCTTCGTACGTCAGTGGCATACGTACGTTTCGGCGGTATCGCCCACTTCTTCAGTGCCACACGCCTTTCAGTAAACCTTTATAGCAGGGATAGGGAGACGTTATGGTGATAGCACGTGGTAATTTGTTATCGCTATTTGCCTGTCGATAGATTACGGTTGGTAGTGAATATGTGGAAATCCTTCCAATCGACTCTTTTTGAATCTCGATATAAACAATCAATATAGCCTGCGAGAATGTTCAAAGCCTCCTCGAGATTGATACGTCAGTGGTTCTACGTACGTTTCAGCGAGATCGCCCGCTCCATCAGAGTCACACGCTCCTACGGAAAAAAAATGTGGTAACCCAATATCGTATGCTATCACCATAATCTCCCATCCCTACCATAGAGTTCAGTGTAAGGCGTGTGGCTCCGAAGAGACGGCGATACCGTCGAAACGTACCTAAGCTACTCACGTACCAACCTCGAAAAGGCTTTAAACATTCTTCACACACCTACTGAATGTTTATAAGCGAGATTTGGAAACTGAGTCGATCAGAAGGATATCGACTTATTTGCTAGGATAAAAACACTAACTTACTACGTCGGAAGCCCTTGCAAGTCTCTTTGTGGATCAAGTATACTATAAACTACTTCCACAGTACTCGATGAAATTAATGCGTGGCACATCCTTGAATTGGTGGACGCTGAACGATTCTATCAGATCTTTCATATTCACTCAACTAATTACTTTAGACACCTTAATGATCAGTTTTCACAGTTTCTGATATCACTGTGCGAATCCCAGCACTTCCAGCATCTAAATAGTTTTTTCATCTTCTTCTTCAACTTCGTAGATACTAATGTTGAATTAGTCTCCTTGCAATCTCGAGGATAGCTGGCTATGACATTCCATAGGACGTTGTTGTTGACATGCCGTTAAGGATTAGGGGGGAGTTCGGCTCTACGCGCGCCGCAACTGTACCACAACCACTCGGCCACGGCGCCTCTACCATCACCACACCTACCTGATACACAGAAGGCGACGGTAGAGCCCCGAAGAAGTGAAACTTACTGTAATCTAGCAAGTAAAAACATAGATTACTCATAGATTACTTGAGGAAACGTCCCTTCATTTTTATGAAGGTGAGTAGTCACAACTACACTAAATTCCAAGGTATCCTTTGCTTGAAGGCCCTAAGCATCGTGCAAACACTTCTCTTTATCATTTCATTCGGTTTCCATTTCTTGATCGTTTCGCTCTCCACATTTCAAATCAAAGCAAAAACATTCTCCGCATGCTTCAAGATTTTTCTTACTGCGTTTTCGCAGTGTTATGATGTTTCATATATACCTAAAAGAACTGAGTGGTGAGCGAAATTCGATCTCAGACGGGAGTTGAACCCGAGTTTCATCCATACGGAGTGCGCATGCTACCACTACACCACCGAGGCACCATTTCGCTACACTCATTCTTCAATGTCTCTATCATAGATATCAGCCACCAACCTATGACAGGTTTGGTCGCTTAAGCAAAATCGCTCTATAAATCCAGTTAAGCTGGCAGCCATTGCAATACGTAATACTCAAGATTTATTGAATTTTCACTGCTTTTTCTCAGTGTTATGATGCTTCAAGTAAATTTCAATTGCCGTCTGAATCTTCAATTTTTCTAGACTTCCAAACAGATCAAATAAATCTCTGCTCAACACTTAAATTTCTCAGGTCTATTCTCCGGATGACATTAGGCCCCACTATGACTATATGTGATCCTTCCTTATCTACTACAATATAGCGTAATTCGTAATTTAGTCACCAAGCCAAGAATTTCGATATTCCCACCCAGAAGGCCATTTGAAAAACCACAAATCACCTTCGATTTGAAGGAAAACTTGAATGCATCTCCAGAATACCGCTCTCGTACCTCGAGTGGAGAAAAAGACCTTCCGAAGAGTAATATTAGAACTATTTGAACAGAATGTACACGAGGAGAGCGTGCTTCTACAGGAAGTGCGGTTAGCTTGGAAAGTAGCTGTTGTTACGTACTCTGCTCCGACTCTTCTTTGCTTGGCTTGATAACCTTTCACCATCTAACAGGTCATCACAGTTGGATAAGTAGGAAAAAAAACCTGTTAAGTAGAATTTATCAAATTCGAAACGACAGTATTTTAAATGCACCCTTATGACTATATTGACCGAGACGAGATTATTTGAGAAGAGACAAATTTAGCCGTCACAGGAAGCGTGGTAGGTAGGAAAGCTCATTAATAGTCATCATCTCCATCAGAATCGAGGTTGTTGCGACGTCGATCGAACTGAAAACAAAAGAAAAATCTCTAATTCGTCAAAAGCTCCCGAATTATTCAAGATAAGAACTCAACACTCCTAAAATGACTTTTCACAGCAAGAGTTACAAGTTACTACTTTTTGGAAATCCACTGTCAAACAGTTTGAGGACGGCAACCTGTTAGTCACAAGTTCATAAAACCAGACTGAGTATATGAAAACCATGTACTAAGAAACGGACATTCAGGAAAATATCCATTCAGCGCAGTGCTAATCAACTCCATCTACTCTACCTTTGCTGAGGATTCCTGGGATCATGGAGCGACCACGTTTCTTAAGTACAAGTCTCTAAAACTATCCTGACCAAATGAGCGTTTTATTCCAAATTATAGTATATTCTTCCATTAAATAGAGGTTTTATTCGAACACTGAGGATGGAAGACATAAGTTAGAACTACAGCCTATTTCTTCCTTTTACGGATAAACCTGGTATGGCTAAAATCTAAGATAAGGCCCATATCGGCATACTTCCTACTTTGTACACTTCACATCGATACATTATTCTCTAAATTCTTTCTGAGATTTCTCAAAAAAAAAAAAAAAAAAACTAGCTGATTTCTAGTCGGTTCATGTGAGATTTAAGGACGAAAAGTAGAGCAATGTCCCTAATTATGCTCTCTAAAGAGATAAACAAACAATGATGGATAAAACAAACAATCTTCGAATAAACACAATGATTATGAGAAATGTTCAAGCTTCATGGAGATGAAGCGACAACTAACGTAGAAGAATAGAATGGTTTTACTAAAACGAACCTTTACAGTGGTTGTTCGCGTAGTTTGTTGAGAGACATGTTCCATCAATTGCTTCAATCCCTCATCTGATAACTTCCCTACCAACTGCCCTCGTCTGAATACAAGAATTCACAGAACTTTTGACAAGAGGAGAAAGCAAATCTCAAGAAACGATGGGTTGTCCCATACTTCTTTCGCACCTCACACTTTGTTGACTGAATTGTTATTTACTCGAGAAAATCAATTTATAAGAAAAATTTTATCACCATATGACCAATGATATACACATATTTGTCTAGGCGAAGAGTGGATGCGTTCCTCACAGAAAGAATAGAGCCGGCGCTCAAAAAACAAAGACGTCGAGGTCACTTTTGAGCTGGATGTTGTAGTCTTAGGAATTTTTTCTCCCGCATGGCTGCTTCAAGACTTGAAGGAGATCCGATCAGATGGAGCAGTATCAAGGCCAAACGATGGAAATGGTATAGTGATCCAGCCCAGTTTCTCTGAAATGTGGAGATTCGACTTTCCAATGCGACTTCTAGCGTTATCTTGAAGAAAAGCGACACGGGTCGTTTCAGACCCTTCACTCGCACTGCTGCAATCAACTCCTGGTTGCCTCCCGGAGACGTCGGCACTGTCTTCTCGTTGTCGAGCAATTCCCAAAACAACATGCCCTGTCAATCCCAGAGAAGGAAATCGATTCCTTTTGGTTATAAAGGTAGAATATGAACAAACGACCTCAATCGCTGGACAGGAACTTTTCATATGAGTGTCAGTGATCATTCGAAAGCTTGAATCTCTGGCTAGAGCCCGACGTGGCCGTTTCCAAAAAGACAATTTTTTAACGGTGTAAAATCCAAAGTCAAGTTATGTTTCACACGCGCATAATTCTCGTCGGAGAGAGCTCCTTCCTTGCACTGCTAGTAACCATTCGATATCGTAAGTTTCAGTGATAACAAGGCTGTGGTCATATTCTGAAAGCGATCTCTCTGCAGTGCAACTAGAAATAAGATCGAATTCGCATGCGCGAGCAAGAGGTTTGGCCAATTCACAGACCGCTGGGTGAGGCGGCTAGGTGAGCTGACGCGATGATCGACCGATTCTCGACCGGATCTTGTGAAAGTTCGATCCTTGCTATTCAATTAGGAACTGCTTCGCCGCTTTGAAAGAAAAACTCCAGATAAAACGTATGACTCTGCTACAAGATGACTTTGAATACTTTTATTTCTGCCATAAATACGGATAAATCAATCATCATTCGATCACCTTGATGGAAATCAAGAGACCAGAACGTCCTGATTGCTTAGAACAGTGACTCGAAGACATTCAGATACTACGAGATCTTCTCTACACGTTCATTTGCTCGAAATCGATCGATCATCGCGTCAGGCAACTGTTTGCCGCTCACCCAGCGACCCGTGAACTGGCCTAAGACCAACTGCTCGCACATATGAATCAACTTATCTTCCTGCAGCGTTGCAGAGAAACGGTCTTTTCAGGACATAAGCACAGCATTGGAATCAGCAAACATTACCGCTGTCGAATGATCACTAATAGTCCAAAGATAAGCTCTGTCGGCGAGAAAAATGCGCGAGTGGAAACACAAGGGATTTCCTTCTGTAACAACGTTGAAAAAAGGCCTTTTCGAGCACAGCCCATTTGGGGCTGTAGCCAAAGATTGAAGCTTTCAAATGCTTATTAACATTCCAATTACGAGTTCCTGTTCAGTAAATGAGCTGGTTTTTCCCTCGCCCCTCATAACCAAAAAGAACCAGAATCATAATCGCAGCCTAATTGTGGTCGGCCAATGCAAAAGGTGTCCTCAGAAACATCAGTTCGCAGTAGCCCATTTCATTTGGATGGTGAGCGATGGTGCTATGGTGCTCAGGATGAGCGACTAGAGCATCTCCAACATACCACACTTGACAAAAGCTCAATTTGGAATAGGAAAAAAATGAGCAAAACAATAGTACGAAGAATCCATGGGATAACTCGACAGATGAGCTCCTATAAAACTCCGAAAAGTGACAAAACGAAACAAAGAAGAAAAACAAAACAAGAAGATAAAAGCGACTCAAGATATTCCCTTACCTGGCCATATTGATGACGGCTGATTCAACCAATTTAGCCTTATCAGGTTTAACGGCGGATAAATTACTCAGTCGCACCAAGGCTTGTTGGTCCAAAATCTAAAAAAAAAAAACAAATTCTAAGCCAGAAACCAGTAAGAAAACTCTACAATCTAAAATCACGAGATCATAAGACATCACCATTCGATTTGCATCGAATCATAAAAAAGAAACCTGACCTGTGAGAGCAAGGAGTTTACGGCATTCTCCCGACTTTCTGCTTCTTTTCGAGCCTGTTCTTCTGAGTTCCTCGTTGTGTATCGGCCTAAACTACTAGCAAACTCAAGTTCAATCGTTGGACACGATATCTAATATCACTACGTCATAGAAAAAAAGATATGAGCACATCTGGAGCAATGGTTAGAGGTGCTCTGTGTCGCACACAGGGTCGATGGTTCGATCTCGTGCCCATGGCTCACCAAGCCATCCATCCCTCTAGAGTCGGTAAATTCAGACTGATCTCAGCCTTATCTGAGAGGATGATAGCACTGACTTGATCAAGAAAAGGCCACAGGGAGTTACTCTAAAGGCCAGATACGCATTCAATCACCTCAAACAAAGTTAAAATTGAAGACGAATACATGACGCATTCCTCAGGGACTGATCAGCGCCTAGAGCATTATCTTTTATCCTTTACCCTTAATGGAAAAAAGACAAAGCTCCCGGTGCAGATCATGCCCCGGGGGCTGCACGATGCACTCGACATCACTAGGGATAGTTTGACGCGATCGAATGCATTTTTAGCCATTACAATAAGGAAATACAAAAAAAGGCTCCTCGCGACTACCGATGTATCAAATCAGTGCTGCTATCCGCCCAGACAGGTCTGAGGTACCAATTCACTGATCTCGGAAAAAGAGGTCTGGTGAAACTTGAACGCGAGGTCGAACCATCGACCCTGTGTGAGGCGCAGAGCACCCCTAACCACTGCGCTACACACAGTCTCGAAATTATACGACCACCATATAAAAACGGCTGGACATCACTGCGATGCTAGTCCTCCTTACCAGAATAATCCAGAAAACCTTGGAAAAGGTCCGTACTGGCACTTCCACTCTAGCAACCATGATTACACATAGCCTGTCAGAATGTTTTAAGCCTTTCAAAGGTTTGGCATGTCATTTCGAATGGTATCCGTACGTTTCGACGTCCTCACACGTCTCATCAGTATCACATGCCTTGCGGCTTACCTCTGCTACTAACAGCAATCGACGCTGAAGAAGTATCACTCCACGTCAAGTGGAA